ATTGCTGCCTGTTTTGCCTGGCACCCAGTTCTTTGGTACTGGACTATAGTATTTTTTATGACCCCCAGACAACATAGGTATTGGCATACATGGGAGACCAGTTGATCACAATGATGCTGTCACCATGGCTAATATAATACAACCAGTAATATCAATAGCATCAAGCACAGATTGGAAAATGACAAGCTGTGATAACTATTAATTGGTCACCTTTAACTATAGGTACAAAATTTATAATTATATAACCAAAGCCAAGGCAAAGCTGAAAATTGTACACAGTAAATATCCACTCAATAGAGTGATTTTACCCTAAGGGAAGAAAATTTAAAAGAGAGAAGAGAAGAAGGGAAGAAGACAGAAGGGAGAGAAAGAAGGAAAAGCCACGCATAGTGGTACAGGCTTGTAATCCCAGCACTTGGGAGGCTGATACAGAAGAATCATTGTGAGTTCGATACATAGTGAGCCTGGGATACACAGTGAGTTCCAGATGAGCCTGAACTACACAGCAAGACCCTGTCTCAAAAAAAAAAAAAAAAAAAAAAAAAAAGAAAGGAAGAAACAAAAACAAAGTACTGTAAAAACAATCTCCACTTGGAAACAGCCCATTTGCCCACCAGTTGGAGACTGGATAAAAAAGGTGTGGTTTTTCTATAAAATGGAGTACTACTCAGCCATAAAGAATGAGAAATTAGGTTCATTCATAGGAAAATGGATACATTTAGAGGACATATTCTTTAGTGAAATAAATAAGTCACACAGGTGTAAATACCAAATAGTTTCTCTGGTGTGAAAACTATAATAGTACATAAGATCCTAATGATATAATTGACAATGTGAAATAGGAAGAAAAGGGCTAAAGGTGTAGGGCAAGTGGGAAGAGTAGGGGAAAGGTAATAAGAGAAAAGAAAAAAATATGAGAAAACGAAAAAATGGAAATAAAGTGTTTGTAAAGGGGGAGGGGAGGAGGGGTGAAGGAGGGCAGGGACAAGGGGAAAAAATGAGAACCAAGACCTGTCATGTGAAGGTACAAGATCCCAGTGATGAATGTAACTGTATGTATACCTAAAATGTACCAATGAACTCAATGAGAGAGAGAGAGAGAAACCAATGTCCACATTCATGAGTAAACAAAAACAAACAATGAAAAAAATTTAAAAGTCTGCAAGTGATGGAGAAAAACAACAACAACAAAACAAAAAAGAAATTTCTCTGTTGTTTCAAGCCTGTGGTTATCTTCTTGGGTTTACAGTTTTGTGGTGAGTGTCCAATTTAGGGAATGGCTCTGCTCTAGCTGGTAGTCTAAAGGGGCAGTTACAGCTGAGATCTGCACTGGGTAATCACCAGCAAGCCTATAGTAGGGTTAGGGCCATGTTCTGGTACTTTAACTCCACAGTAGTTCAGGCTTATTTGGTATCTGGTCATGGGGTTGTGGCCTGAGTCATTTAGTTTACAGCACTCAGGATATCTCTTGCTGGCCTGAGCACCGTCCTCTGACCCTGGACATCTCCTGTGTTTGTCCCTCACCTGGTCACTGTGGGTTTTTAACACTGGGAGCCCTAAGATGAAGCCAACCCTTAGATGCTCTGGGTCCTCAGTTCGGTTGGCCCCTCCATTGAGAGCGTGTTTGGAGATTTTAGCAAGGGGGGCACACTCATATACTCTTTGTTTGTTTGTTTTTTTAAGACAGGGTCTCACTATATGGTTGAGACTGACCTAGAACTCACTATGTAGCCCAGGCTGTCCTCAAACTCACAGCAGTCCTCCTGCCTCAGCCTCCCAAGTGCTGGGATTATAGGCATGTGCCACCACGCCCGGCTTCATATACTGTTAATTTAGGAAATAGCCCTTCTTGATCGTGGATGCTTGTCCTCTTTGACCAAGCAGGCAGCTTGAGAGGGATGGACACAGAGAAGTGAGGGAGGAAGGGGACACCTACGTAGCTGGCCAGATCAATCCTGGCAAACAATGGGGTGACAGATGTCACAGCCAGATTACCCTTACGTCTGGCTCTTACCTAAAATGGTGTCCAATCAAACACTGTCTCCAGTGGACACTATTGTCACTTGGAGTGGAGTCACTCACCAGCTATTATAGTGCACAGCATCCACTACTCTGTTCCACTGGTGTATTTCTCCATGGAGGCCTCTGGAATCACCTGCTTTCCCTGGGTCTCTATAGATTCAACCCTTCTCTCTCATGCCACAAGACAGGTGCTGGAAGAAAGTACAGATTGCCTCCTACTTTTTCTGCATTGAGGTCTGTCTTTTTAGTTTTTCCATTGGCTCCAATTTTCCCTTCAAATCCCTCCTGAGTCCCAGGGATCTATCTCCCTCCTTTTCCTCTTTTCCAAGGTGCTACCACTCAAATAGCCAAAATTTTCCTGGGCAAAAAAGAACAAAGCAGGAGGCATAATATTACCTGACTCCAAAGCATATTACAAAGCTGTGGTAATCAAAACAGCCTAACATTGGCACAAAAACAAACAGACCAATGGAATAACATAAAGTTAACCCACACATCCATAGCCAACTGATGTTTTTTTTTCTGGTATCAGGGATTGAACTCACGACTTTGAGCTTGTGAGGCAGGCATGATGCCACTGAGCTAAATCCCCAGCCCCATAGCCAATTGATTTTTTTTGTTTGGTATGGGGATTAAACTCCCCAGTCCTTGCACTTGTGAAGCAGGTGTCAGAATCACTGAGCTAAATCCCTAGCCTGCCAACTGATTTTTGACAAAGGTGCTAAGAACTTGTGTTGGAGAAAGGCCAATCTTTTCAGTAAGTGGTGATGGGAAAAGTGGATATCCACATGAAGAAGAATGAACTAGATCCATTTCTCTCACCAGCTACAAAACTCAATTCAAAATGGATTAAAGACTTAAATGGAAGGCATGAAACTACTAGAAGAAAACAGAGGTAAAAAGCTTTAGGGACACTGGAATGGGCAAGGATTTTTTGGACAAGATCTCAAAAGTAAAAATAAGCAAGTGGGATTATATCAAACTGAAAAGCTTCTGTACAGCAAAAGAAGCAATGGATAGAAACTGGGTTTGGTGGCACACGTCTGTAATCCCAGCACTTGGGAGGCTGAGGCAGGAGTATTGCTGCAAGTTCAAGACCAGCCTGGGCTACACAGTTTCAGGGCAGTCTGAACTAGATAGTGAGACCCTGTCTAAAAAAACCACAAAAGAGGGGGGAGGGGGAGAAAAAGGAAGTAAAGAAACAATGGATAACCTACAAAGTGGCAGAAAACATGTGTGTGTGTGTGTGTGTGTGTGTGTGTAATCCAAAATATTCAAGAAATTCCAAAAACTCAGTAGGAAAATAAACAACCTAATTGAAAAGTGGGCAATAGGTCTAAATAGACATTTCTCTAAAGAAGACATATGAAGGGCCAACAGGTATATAAAATTATGTCAGTATCACTAGTTATCGGGGAAATGCAAGTTAAAACCACAATTAAATATCCATCCTAGCCAGGCGTGGTGATGCACACCTGTAATCCTAGCACTCAGAAGGCTGAGGCAGGAGGATCACTTCAAGTTCAAAACCAGCTTGGGCTACATAGTGAGTTCAGGTCAGTCTCAACTACATAGTGAGACCCTGTCTCAAAAAACAAAAACAAACAAAGAAACAAAAAAAAATCCACCCTAATAAAAAATGGCTGTTATCAAAAAGATGAAAGATTACAAGTGTTGGTGGAAAAGGAAACCCTCACACGTTGTTGGTGGGTATGTAAATTAGTACAGTCGTTATGGAAAGTAGTATGGAGGGTCCTCAAAAATTAAAAGTAGAACTATTATATGATCTGACAACCCTCCTAGTGTATATCCAGAGGAAACAAAATCAGTATGTTGATGAGATGTCTTCATTCCATATTCATTGAAGCACTGTTCACATTAGGAAAAAAAAAAAGAAAGGAAAAAAGGAAACAGTTCACGCAGGTGTCTATCGGCTGATGAACGGGTAAAGAAAACGTGGTACATATATACAGCAAGATACTATTCAGCCATAAAAAGAATGAGATGTCGTTTGTAGCAACACAAATGGAACTGGAGATCATTATGTAAGTGAAATAAGCCAGGCACAGGAAGACGAGCTCCGTGTGCTTTCATTCACATATGGGATGTTAAAAGGTTGGTCTCTACAGATAGGAAGGGCACCAAGAGATGGAAGGAGGCAAGGGACGCGGATAAATAATTCTCATGTGTTATGCATCTAGACCAACTCCCCACAATGAATGTAATCATGTGCTGCAGATGTGTACTATAAAAATAAAAATAAATTTAAAAGAAAGAAATTAAAAAGTTGATCTGATAGAAGCTAGGTGTAAACCGGTGGTTATCAGAGGCTGGGGAGAGTGGCGAGGAGAGATGGTGAAAATTTGATCAACTAGCTAAATGAATCTGGGCGTAGTGGCGCACGCCTGTAATCCCAGCACTCGGGAGGCTGAGGCAGGAGGATCGCTGTGAGTTCGAGACCAGCCTGGGCTATATAGTGAGTTCCAGGTCAGTCTGAACTACATAGTGAGACCCTGTGTCAAAAAACCAAAACCAAAACCAAAACCAAAAAAAAACCCCCAACCAACCAACCAACCAACCAAACAACCCCCGCCAAACTAGCTAAATGAGTTAGGTAGGAGCAAGAAGGTCTCGTTTATTGCATAGCAGGGTGATCATAGAAAACGATAAAGTGAATCACATTACAAAAGTGGGAGGAAAAAAATTTTGGAGGTTTCCACCAGAAAGAGATGATACGTGATCAAGAAGATACATTTTTAAACTGATAAATATTAGTGTATGCCTGTATCAAACGTTACACAGTAAGTGTTAAATCTTTTTGTATCAGTTAAAATTACTTTTAAAAATTCACCCCCACCCCTAAGGGCTGCATCAGCTGTCTGGGTTCCAAGGCCAAGCCCCACGACTGCCCGGTAAATAACCACCCGTCTCTCAGCTGGGTTGTGGCAAAAAAAAAGCTTCCTCACTAGGCTCCGTACCTCCGCCCTTGCTTCCCGGTCTGCCTTCCACACCGCCGGCGGAAGGGTGCTGTGGGAACGTAGTTCCGGTTCCTCTTGTGCTCAGAACTCTCAGCAGCTCCTCAGCCCGCTCAGGGTGAAGGTCGGGCGCTCTGTGCCCACGCGGTCCGCCCAACCTGCCCTGCCTCTTCCCACGCTCTGCACGCCCTCTGCTCACGCCGCCCTGGGCGCTCGCTGGGGCTCTGGGCCCTTCAGTTCCCACTCCGAGTCACCTTCTCAGGGATGCTTTTCGCAGCCAACTGCCCATGTTTTTCTCTTCACTGCTTTAGTTTTTTCTTCTGGTCTTTTGCTCTGTCTGCTCAAGTCTCTGGTTTCTTCAGTCTTGGGTCTTCTGGGCTCCTCGCTCCATAGGTCCACGAGGGCAGGACATTATACTTTTCTTGTCTGTCAGTGACCCAGGTGCTCTCCCTCACCCTTGATGGACTCGAGTCTGTGCCTCTATGTCACCGTCTCCAGCATTGCCTCTGGTGTTCTTGAAAGACAGAAGGTAGACGATTCGCGCAAGACCCAGGTCTCTCACTTGTGTAAGTCTTCTCCTACCATCTTTTTTTTTTTTTTTGGTTCTGGGGCTCAAACTCCGGTCCTTGAGCTTGTGAGGCAGGCGCTGGAACCGCTGAGCTAAATCCCTGGCCCTTTTCCGACCATCTTGTGCTGCATTTGAGCTCATCGCTCGCTCTGTACCCTCCGCGCAGACTTTGTGACTGGTGGTCACGGCCAGCCATCCATTCGAAGCCTCCAGTGCCATGGCCCTTGACTTTCCAGCTCGACCTGCCCACACCCTCAGAAACCATTCTGCCCCACTGGGCTTCCGTCCCTCCACCCTCTCGGCCCTGCAGTGCCGCATGGACTTGCACAAGTGCCGGAGTTACCGTTAAAGCCTTTCCTTGCACACACCCTCCCCTTGGCAGCCCACTCTCGATGCATGTCTTTCACTTGGAAAAACTCCGGCAGTTGTCCCTGGCAACTCTCCACCTATTCAGTCCCTGCGCAGTTAGATGGCCCAGTAAAAAGCACAAATGTATGATGACTGCATCACTTTGAGTGAATAACAACAGATACACTCGTAGCGTTCTCCACAGTACTGTAACAGGAGCGTCACACGTCACAGTTATTCGTTCCTCATGACAAGCGTATGACTTCCTAATAGTATTCTCACGTTTGAGATAAGAAAACCGGAACGTGGTGTGGTGGCACACACCTGCAATCCCAGCACTGGGGAGGCTGAGGCAGGAGGATTGTGAGTCTGAGGCCAGTCTGGGATTCACAGGGAGTTCACTGTCGGCTTGAGCATAGACAGATCATATCCCAAAAGAAACAGAAAGCGAGAGAAAGAGACACTGAGTCACAGAAAGGTTAATTGGAATTATGGAACTGAATCTTGCAATTCACCTCCAAAATCCACACTCAGGATTACCAGGCCAGCCTCCTAGGATCCACTCACTTCAGGCTGCTAATTAGTTACGTGTCATTCATTTCCTTAGGCCAGGCCGCTTAGACAAGACCAGGCAGGCGCTCTGCCTGGAGGGTTTGGTCAACACAGATGACTGGGCCCATGCTCTGAGTTCCTGAGCCGGTGACGGGAAGTGCTGGGCCTGTGACTGGGCTTCCTAAGAATTGACTGGGGGTGCTGCTGTGCTGGTTTGGGACCCCTGGCCCCGGTCCATTTTCCCCTCCTTATAGGTTCCTCCTTCACACCTTTCTCAATGCCTTGTCTCAATCCTGCTTTTCTTTTTGGTGCTGGGGATTTCGCGTTAAACGAACAACTCATCCCCATTACTCCTGACGGATGACTTGGCTGGGGCCCCACTATGGGAACAGAACAAACCAGAGAAGTGTCCCCAGGCTTCCCTTCATATTTCCTCTTCTTTCCACACCCACGCCTGGGCAGCTGCCCTCCTTCCTGTTATCCAGATGGACCATCGTCTACCAGATCATCCACGTCGACAAAGAAACATCTATAACTCCTCCCATCTTAAAAGAAATTTCAGATTCCTTTGGCTACTTCATTCTGTTTTCAACAAAGTTCCCCCAAATGGTTGTCCTCTCCATCTCCAAATAATAGTCTAACTTTTTCTTTTCATTAAAACATTTCATGGTAGGGGCTGGGGATTTAGCGCAGCGGTGCCAACACCTGTCTCACAAGCACAAGGTCCTGAGTTTGACCCTGGGTACCAAAAAAAAAAAAAAAATCATCGTGGTGAAATCTGTATAATATAAACATACCCTTTCACAATGTTAAGTGTATGATTCAGTGGCATTAACTACAGTCACATTGTTGTGCCCCTCATCACTGTTTCCGAATCTTTCCCCATACACAGACAATCCCAGAGATGCTACAGGGAAGCTACCAGAGCTAATAAATGAAGTCAGCGAGTTGTAGCTTCCTGCTGGCTTTTGAACCTTCTCCAGTCGTCTTTGTCCTCCGTTCTTCCACCCAAAACCCTTTCTCCAAGTCACCTGAGAGCTCCGTCTTGCTGAAGCCAGTGGTCAACACTCAATGTTGACTCTTGTCTTAATCTTCCCAGATACGGTTGATCCTTCCTTCCTTTTCCAAGGGTCTTACCTTGGCTTCCAGCACCACAGGCTCCTGGTTCTCTCCTAGCTCTGTTGACACAACTTACTCCTCACTGTCCTTCCTGCTTCCTCCTTGTCTCCCACACTCTAAATGCTGCATCCCAGGGCTCAGCTGCTCCTCTGCTTTCTATCTGCTTTTGCTCCTCGGGTGATCTCTCTAGCGTCGTGACTACAAAAGTTCTCCAGCGACTCACCACTTCCAAGTGTACATCGTCGGTTGAGACCTCACTTCTCAGCTTCGTTATATTAAACCGCCCATTTGCTCTGGATATCAATGCTGACAGTGATTCCTCCAGATTTGTCTACGTCAGATCTCTAGGACCTGAGAATGTGGCTGCTGCACCGAGGATCTGGACTGAGCCCAAAGGCCGAGTGTTCCGGACTAGTCCTGAGCTTGGTGGTGTTGGAAGGTGGTGGACTCTGGAAGAGGTGGGGCCTGGTGGGAGGTCTTTGGTCATTGGAGCTGTGGCCTTGAAGGGGCCAGTGGGAGTGTAGCCGCTTCCTGTCTCTCGTTTCCAGGAATATGAGATGTGTAGTTTGTTCTACCATGTGTTCTCCACCATTTCCATCGGCATATTCACCGGAAGCTCAAAAGCAATGTATCCAGCTGACCAAAGGCTAAACCCTCTGAAACCCTGAACCAAACTAAGCCTTTTTTTTCTCTTTGTAAGTTGATCCCAGGTACTTACTACAGTAATGGAAAACTGACTAACAGTGAGCTTATTGAAAAAAGGATCTTTGAAGATATAATCAGGGTCTGGAGATAAAGCAGTCACTAGTGTGGTCCCTAAATAAAATAAAAATGCCTCTATAAAAGATGCACAGAAGAGAAACACATGGAGACAGAAGAGAAGACAGTGTGGCTGGGGCAGCGGAGATCAGAAGAACATGGCCACAAATTGTGGACACCGACAGCCACCACAGCTGGAAGAGACAAAGAACAGCTCTTCCTTGAAGGTCCTCAGAGTGAGCACATCCCTGCTGAAGTTTTGTTTCAGACTTCTGGCTTCTAGAACCGTAAGGAACCAATTTCTGTTATTTTAAAACATCTAGTTTGTGGTAATTTTTATGGAAAACTAATACAGATATCTCAAGACTAATACAGATATCTCCAATTCAACATGCCCACCCGCAAATTTGTTTCATTTTTTCACCCCTGCTCCATCCAGCAGACCTGCTGCCCTTCCAAGAAGGTCTTTCCCATCCTAGAAAAGGGCGAGTCCAGCCCTGGAGTTACTCTGAGGTCATTGTTGACCCTTCATTTTCACTTTCCATCAAGACTTGAAATCATCTGCGAACTCTGCTGGCTCATTTTCAGAGATAATCCACATTGGTTCACTTCTCCCCTCCTACCCTGCATCTGTCTTGGTCCACCGTCGCACGTGGGGATTATGGCAGTGTCTATCTCCCTGCTTTTGTCCTTGCCCCTTACAGTGTATTCTCAAAATAGCAGCCAGACTGATGCTGTTGTAACTGGAATCAGACTGCACCACACTTCTGCTCAGAACCCTACAGGGGTCCTCCGTCCCAGTAGCAAAGCCAAGTCCTTGCAGTGTCTTGCAAGGCCCCCATGATCTGGGTGCTGGTAACCTCTCTGAGGTCATCTTCTTCACTCTTCCCCTCCATGTTGGTCCCCACTTTAGGGAATTTTGATCGAGGATATTACAAGGCTGGATGGAGCTAGCAGGGTTACTAGGTTACATTTGAAATTGGAAGGCATGAATTTAGAGTAAGAGGCATCAGCAGAGTTGTGTGTTCCCTTCCATTTAGCTGAGAATGTGTGGATAGAGGAAGAGGAGGGTTGGCTTGGCCAGATGAAGATTTTGCTAGGGAAGAACAGTGGGCAGAGAGGGGTAAGGTCCTCGAGACCCTTTGTACAGAAGAGTGATGGCTAATGTCAGAACATGGAATCACAGCAGGGTAGGAAGGAGAGAAACTAGGTGGTGCATATGATACACTTACTTTCGAGCCTTAAACATTGAAAAGATCATAAACACAAGCTGTTATTGCCACAAACATTCGTACAAAGAGTACTAAAAAGTATTCTACATTTAAAAAAGATCTGGCAAAATTAACTTCAGTATCACACTCAGGTCTCTCTCTTGTACTTAAACTCTAATCCCTGTAAATGAGAGATGACTGAAGATAAAGCAATAAAATCCAAAACAAGAATGATACTTCAGAAATACATTTGTACTTTTGGTATAACTTGGACTTCACCACTACCAGAATGAAAAGCCATCACTGGTTTCAACTCAAAAATTTATGAGTGGGCCGGGGTTGTAGCTCAGTGGTTCTACCACCTGCCTCACAAGTGCAAGATCCTGAGTTTGATCCCCAGTACAAAAAAAACCCAAAAAACAAAAAACAAGAATTTATGAGTAACATGCAAAAACAACAACAAAAAATACTTCAAACATATTCTTTGATCCAAGGGCATAGAATCAATCACTTTCTTCCAAATATGTCAGCCTGGTGATATTATGGTTTTTTTCTCAGAGATGTATGTTTTATTTTACCAGCCTTCGTTGACTTTCAGTTATACATTAGTGCTTTCTTTTCTGTTGCCCCTGTCTGCCAAGCAGCAAGCTGTCACTGCCTCAGTGGAAACATACAACCAAATGGACTGACCTTATCTGTCTGTGTATGTTCCAGGTACCCCATGCACGGTCCACTTTCCTTACGCTTCCATATTACTCAAAAAGTGGGTAAAGGAAAACATTTTTTTTAATGTTCATAGAGACATCACTATGCACAGTGTCAAAGTCACACACATTTTAAAGATGAAAACATCAGAATTCAGGAGCTAAGCCATGGAGCAAGAAATCAACAGATGGGAGTTAACCGGAGGAGGCCCCATCTGCCGACTCAAGGTCTTGCTAGTTCAGGGTTAGGGCAACCTCAGCGACAGCGCTGGGGTGGAGGGGCGGCCTCCACATCATGTGAGCTGAGCTTCTGGGTGGATGCAGCTGCCAGCTACTAAATGAGTGAGCTGGGCCAGGAATAAATGGTTGTGGGTTCAAGTCCTTCACTGTTTCTACCGGTAGGAGCCTCCATTCCATCGTCTGTGCAATGGATGCGGTAGCTCTGAATTTCCTTAATTCTATCATCCCCTTTGGGAGGCATTTCTGCTATGGAGGATGGATGTTAAAATGAATCCACTTGTGCCCG